TACGCTGTATTGTCCTACACCTACCCAGCACAGAACGCTCTGCTGACACCTCTGTAGCCTCCTCATCTCTGATGACTTTTTCTGAAAAGTTTTATTTTCACATGTACTTCTCATCTGTATCCACCAAGGGCATACTGCCAACTCAGCAATTTTTTAAGGCAATTGAATGATTTTACTGATTTATAAAGGATTTTTTGGTCTAATTTAAAAAGTATTATTTGTGTGTGTTAATCTAAACCCCATTATTTAGGCTTTGCAAATTAAAAGAGAAGCAAGTAAGAAGAGGATTATTGCTGTGTCTCTCTTCACCTAAATACAGATACAGTGTGCTGTTCTTTTTTTACCTGTGCTTTTTTTTCACAAAGTTTGTATATGGTTTCCAAGTTGGGATCATTGTGAAGAGGGTGTGAATACATCCTGTGCTCAAAGGCCTCTACTTTTTGGATTACTTTTTTCAGTCCTTGATCTTTGATGCCCATGTCATCAATAGGGTCTAGTAATGGTACTCCATCAGGAAATCGCTTCTGTACTTCCTAAAAGGAAAAAAAAAATGTGGTTTTTTTTTTTAAAGATTAGTAACAGTAAAATAAACTATACTTTTACAAAACAGCTGGCACAACTACAGGGGTACAGAATGGAGTGGTGTAAGTTTATTACACACTGTTACAGCAGTTTTCACTATCAGTTTATAATTACTGTTGACAAGGAGAAACAACTGACGCACGTCGTGGCTTCCAACCCCATTTAAGAATAAGGCTGAAGACGTGACTAAGTGTTGGATGAATTTCTTCAGAAAACGTTGTCTTGTGTTCAAGAATACCCCAAGTGTCAGAGCAGTGAGCTTACACAGCCCAATAGAACTTACTTGTATCGATTTTAACACACTCTGCCTGTTGTCAATAGGCCTCAGGTCTTTTGGTATGTAAAGTCGGACACTGCTGATAGCTGAGAGAAGATGAACCAGAACAGGAACAACCTATCAAAGACAGTGTAGTAACTGATAAATCAGTAAAAAATACATTTATTACTACTGTTCCAAAGCAGAGCTTTACAAAGCAAAAGGAAAACTGAGCACACAAGGACACGGTACTGGGTTACAGAGTATCAGGAAGCAAGAAAATGTGAGTAACAGGTGAAGTATTAATAAAAAAGAAAAATAAGTTTGTCCAAACGGCAAAATTCTGTATTCGGTTAAATCTAGAGAGAGGCTACAAATGGGAAAAAATAAGAGGTAAGTTAATAGAAAAACTGATTTTATCTATTAGAATACCTCTGATTAACCAAACCAGACAAATTATTATCATATACTTAAATACATATATATAGTTAATATATATGGTAATTATATAGGAATAGGAACGCTAGCAACAGAGATACAATACTGTATCTCAAGCTTTAAATACACTGTGAAAAAAAATGTGCAGACCAAATAGAAAACATTCCCTGGTCTGAAAATTGTAATTGTTTGCCTTGATATAGGGTTTCAAATGGAAGATTTAAAATAATGCAAACACTTGCACTAAAAATTTCCATTTAATATGAGAATGAGGTAGCCTCGGAAAGCTAGAGGTTTAAAAAAAGAGAAATAAATGAAGTAATTCTGTCCCAAGAGACAGAAGGTATTGCTAACAAAATGATCTGCCAAACAGCATCACTAAAATGTATGACTCAAGAATTCTAAAAATTCTTATTAAATTCTCAAATCTAGCAGAACAAATGCATATTACCCACAAAATCCTGCAGAATTAACTGAGGGAAAAAAATTCTTATAGATGCTTACATTATAAAATCTGCAGATAAACATGTAGGTAATTTTAATAACTTTAATTACTGCAATTGCCTTTCATCCACTGATTTGACTGGAGAACATGGTAGTAACCAAGTTTCAAAGCGCTTCTTTTATGGTAACAAATTCACAGAAGTATTGTGTTTGCAGTTGAAGGTTTCCTCTTTGGTGAAATCAGCAATTGTCTAAGAAAGCAGAGTTAAGTACACAGCTCCTTTCTGTTCCTTGACGCATCTTTTCCCACAGCTTGCAGATGCTTCAGAAATAGCATTTTTGAGAAGATTTACAAGAAATATTGAGAACAAACATGTAACAAACCTGCATCTCTCCTTTCTCATCAGGTCTGGCTGGCTTTGCAGCCTCAGTAGCAGAATTTTTCAAACTCTCTTTGCTGCAGTGCAGTAGCACTTCAACTACATACAATGGGTCCAGTTCACCAGAATTTGGCTGTTGAGGGCACAGAAAAAAGACGTCCGTAACCATTATTTTAAAATACCAGAGAAATGGAAAAGCATTATTTTATTTAACATTAAAGGCCTGAAATGAGTTACTACTCTTCACAGAGCCATCAGCTCAGTGATGATGTATATTCTAAATGCTACTTAATTGGTATTAAACTAGTATTAATTGAAAGATCCCATCTAGAAAAATACGCTTCAAAAAACTACCCCTTCCCATCCTCCTCCCTTGCCCATGCAGCCTAAAGTCTATTTCTAGCTTTAGGTACTTCTGCCCTTACTTCTAGACACAGCTCTTTCAAAGTAATCCAACATTTTTTGCAAGTGTAATGCTAAATACTTGCATCATGTTAGCAGTACTCAACTCTTTAAAAAAAAAACAAGATTTGGGGTATCTGTCATTTGCAGGTTTGCAAGTTCAAGTTTTTCCCCACAATAAAGTCCACAGAAAAAAATCTTTCACACATAACATCTTCTATCTCCAGCAAATAGGAAGCTGCATCATGCAGGCCACTACACCCCAAACCGCAGGCATATCTGACAATAATTTAAAGAACACTGACCTGCAGATATGGTGGTTAAAGACTATTCTTCACAAAGCCATAACCTTTCTTATACACTGCTTTAAAAAACCCTGCTGTTAGTTATGTGGCTGGATCAATACGCACTCAGGTTGCTCCAACACACTCCTACTATAAGCAAATATTTTTATGACTTTGAGTAGAACTCAGTTACAGGCCTAACACTGAAGGCAGATACCACCTTCTAAAATGCTGTGTGCAAGCTTCTCTGCTTCCAAACACAAGAGAGGGAAAAAACCAACAGGCTTTGCAAAATTCCATGTTTACTCAGCTCAGGTTTACTGGACAATATTTTTCATTAAAGTTTACAACATACTATTTTCTTTCACTGCATGCAAGCAGGGTGGAGCCAGCTAACATTCTAAGAGATTCTCAGAAGTACTATGAGAAACTGCCATAGTAAACTGAACACAGAAACAGGGTTGTGCTGTTCCACAAGATATACAATTTCTTTAAGAAATGCCATTACTTGCTGGGGAACAAACTGTTCCTCTGAATTGTACCCTACATTTGCAAGAGCACTCACAGCAATGCACAAGGACCCGTACCACTGCTGTTTTTTGAATTAGAATTTTATGATGATATCAACATATACCAAGTCAGCATCCAGCCAAAGCCACAGGAAGCACAATGGTGACTTGAATAAAGAAAGGACAAAACTCATAGTTGCACATATACTTTACAGAACTGGAGATGTCTAGAAAATTTAGAGGAAAAACATATTTCTATCAATTAACTGTACTGTGAACCTATAATAAAGTAGGAGTACAAATGTCCCTAACATTTGCTGTTAAGTATTACACTCCAGAAGTGTATGTACATGAATGGCTTTCAGACAATGCTGACCAGATGTGACTTAATCTAGAATTGCTTTTTGAATGTGTAGTTTCCTCCAGCGGGTTTCCTACAACGTTTTAGGTACTAAAACCTTGAATGGGAACAGCCTATTTTCATATGCAAGAGTAAAAGGAGACTAGAATACTATGTAAAAATTCTTAAGTCACAAACATCTCTGCCCACATTCAAGTTTGAATGATCCTTTCATGCTGCATCAATTAACATGCTTCAAGGATAAAATTCTGCTCTTTTTGGCAGAATATTGTATCATTATGTGTACTGGAAGGATTTTAGATTTGCCCTGGAACAGCTAGTACTTCATGTGCCTGGAAATAAGACAGCTGATCTTATGTGTAAATCAAGAAATATAGCACAGATAACAAATTCAGATTCTCAGATTAATAACATCAGACTTACTGAAAATTCAATGACCATGACACAGCACTAAAAACAATGTCTATGTAGTAAACATAACAAATAAGTGTGAACAAATAAGTACATTAATTTAATGTATGAGGATTATAATCAGCTACATAAAGAAGACCAGATGGTAGCATCTCAAATTCTAGTATCAGTACATGTTAACAGACAAAAATTAGATGTCTGGAATGAGGAATAAGATGATAATATGGATTATAAACAGCATAACAATAAAACTAGCATACTGCTGGCAAAATCTGGTGGAAATAAATTTCTTACTCAAAAATAGTTGGCGTTTTTTATTAATTTTAAAGCAAACAGCTCCTTTGCTGCTCACTATACTGCACAATATATAGCAAGCACCACTGCTTGAACTAAATTCTTCTGCCTACTGTAATTCAGAATAAAGTGCCATTTGCATTCACAATTTCATGGAACACTGCATCATGAAATTATGTTGGAAGAACATAACTGACAATGACTCATGGTTTTGCTTTCACATTGCAATAAACAAATGAAATTAGTCAGTGAAATAGACATACTGTATCTCTAGATGTCTATTTAAATTAAACGTATTCCTCAACAGAAAAAGGACTTAATTAGAAACTATGAAACAGTGATGAAGTACTTATGACTAAAGAATAACTAGTTATATAGACTGAAATCAACATCATTTCTAAAACCAAATCCAAAGAATTGCCACAGCTTAGAAGTGGATGAAGGTTTAAAGACATAACAGTTATATATTTAATTATACTACTACATTAAAGAGTAACTGAGAAATGCATCTGTATCCCAGGACAAAAATGCATTGGACAGACACATTAAAATATGTAAATAACAGCTTCTTTAAGTTCTTTGTTGTGCCTCTTTCCATACTAATTTTAAAAGTTACGTAGTTTTCAGTCTGTTCCATAATTTTCAGCACCTATTGTAATTCTTTCCAAAGAACTCAGAAGGAAAAATTCAACCCAGCTGCTAGAAAGACTTATTGAAAAAAGTGCTGCTAGAGCCAGAGCCATCTCCTGCAGGACAGACTGCAATTTCAAGGCTTATGTTCAAACCTAAAAGCTACTACCTGAGACAAGTCAGATGGGGAAGGCAAATATACATGTGGGTACAGTACGACACAGATAGAAGAAATGCCTCCACTGACACAGAAGCTGGCAATTTCAAACAGAGGCTGGGGTCAGGGGAAAATCTGTTTCACTGCTCATGTGGCTCTATGAATAAAGCAGTCTAGAAGCAAGTTCAAACAATAGCAGTACAGGCCAGTCTTCCAAATTGAAATAAATGTGCATTTCAAAAGGAAGATGGAAAATCAAAACAAAATCTCTTTTAATAAGTTCTTTATGCACACATTTATCTCATTTCCTATTTAATGAATATATATTAGAGAAGCACCAAAAGGTGCCACAATGCACAGGCGGGACCAGAACCTGACAAAGACAACTTCTCTTTTAGACCTAGTAATTAATGCTAATGCTCTCCTGCCAAAATTACAGCAAAAATGCCACCACAGAAAAATACACTTTAAAGTGTAATTTAGCCAGCAGAGCATCCTGTCAAAACATTTCTGAAAGGGAGACCAAAACATCATCTCTGGGGTTATATGGAGACTGACTATAAAAGTAGATTTTGGAAGGAAAAACAAATCTGTCTTCTAGTGTATCACCACCCTCTGTATTTTCTTCCACATTTCCCCAAATCCATTTCCATTGTTTTGCTCTCTTTCTATTTTAACTTCCCAACCCTCAACATTACAGCAATGTCCCAGAGGACAAGCAATCCCATGCTTCATATACTGGCTTAGGACCTAAGACAGCAGTTTAAGATAACCTTCTCCACAGAGCCAAATCTCAGTCTCCCTTCAACTACTATAGATTTTCTGAGAGTAGATAACATGCTCATGAATGGTTCAGCATTGTGCTGGTGGGGAACTCCAAGAAAGAAACTAAATAGGTTGAAAAGTTTGCGGTGCCAAGTGCACTTTTGAACTACTTATCCCAGACACAAGCAAGAATTTCCTTCATAAATATGCCAAAAGTTAAAAAACAAGCATGGGACTTAAGGTTTGCCCCACTTTCCCTATTTTTTTCCTACAAAATTTCACTTCAGGAAGACCTGAGGTTTTTGTACATTTGGGGTGAAAGGAAAATTTTTTGCTTTTAAAAACTACAAGGAAAGTAAGCGATTTATCTTATTTTCAGAGAAAAGCAGTAAGGTATTTATGTCTCTGATGGAGAGAATGTATCTTTTACCTTAACATTCGATTTCTTAGAGAAATTAACAACCACTCCCCACCCAAAGTCATCACCTTCATTCTTCACCTGAAAAAGATTACAACACATTACAACATACCCCAGGTATAATCATATCCTAGCAAGCACATCTTTTTGTATTTCTCATATTTAACAGCAGTCATAGACTATTATTCATCATGAAAACAGTATTTCTTTTAAATCATTAGTGAATGTTTAACAAATGTAACAGAAGTCAAAATCATTGCTTAGTGCGATGCATATAAGTGTTCAAGATGGTTAAACTGGCAGACACAAATGAACCCTGCGAAGGTAACAGACAAGTGGAGATTTGAAGTAAATACAAAACAAACACCAAATTACCTTAACCAGTCTTCCTGGCTGCAGAAAGGGCAAGCAATACTTTGGTTTGTGAATATATTCTTCAATGTCTTTAGCCAGTTTTGCAAGCTGCTGTCGGATTTTGTAGTATATGACCACATTTTCTTCATTGGGAATTGCTATTTTGTTGTATTGTCCTTCTAAATTATTCACTCCTATAATAAAAAGTAAAATCTCACGGAAATTAATAACTTCACAGATTTTGAAATCAATGTCTCACTTTGAGATCTACATAACTAGTATTTTGTCACCATTTTTGGGATTAATTTTCTATTTACAATAATCCATTCCCTGGAAAGCTAGGAATCTATAAGTGTGTCCATTAAATCTTATGTACAGGAAATTAAATATTAATACTAAATTTTTTTTTTTTTTAATAATCAAGCTTGAGGAAATGGAGAAGGCTAGAGCCCAGTTGTCCAGGAATCACTGATTTAGGAGGGTATTCACTGCCTACCACAGCTCTTCTACCTCCTATGAAATTAAGGTTGCTCAAAGACATCCTCTAACAAGATGTCTTCCAGAAAGAGGAAAGTTGTTAGAAGATATTTTTCCTGACCTGTTTTATGTTCTGATTCCATCAGATGGAAATTAGTATCTTCTATTTTCTTCCTCCAACATTCTCACACCTTGTTTAGGCAAGGCAATTTTTATTTTAAGTGACATCCTTTATTCTCTCACACCAGTAATACCACTGGTAAACATAACAAAGGATACACTGTAAACATTTCTTTTTCCTGTACCAACTCACCATCTTGCATGCTATTTGAGTGCACATGGGTGACTCAGAATTCCCACTTCAATGGGACTTCAGAGACTGCTCAGGGAATTGCTCCCTATTTTTAGTTGGCAACTTCTTATAGAAAAAGCTAGCAATCCACATCCATGGCTTAATTTCCTCCCTGGTCTGAACAACCACCTCTTTCCTTTGTCATTTTAATTGCAGCTGAAGCAATTACAAAATTCTAACACCCTGTATGGTGCCAAAAAAAGAAAAGTCCAGGAAATACAAAAAATCATAGAATCCTTTAGGTTGGAAGGGAACTTCAAGATCATCAAGTCCAACCATTGAGCCAATAGGGCTCTAAAGTCCTCTGTTAAAACAGATCAGAATCTGTCAGGGTTGGAAGGGACCACAAGGATCACCCAGTTCCAACCCCTCTGCCATGAGCAGGGACACCTCCCACTAGATCAGGCTGCCCAGAGCCTCATCCAGCCTGGCCTTAAAGACCCCCAGGGATGGGGCCTCAACCACCTCCCTGGGCAACCCATTCCAGGGTCTCACCACTCTCATGGGGAAGAACTTCTTCCTCATGTCCAGCCTGAATCTGCCCACTGCCAGCTTTGCCCCATTCCCCCTAGTCCTATTGTTACTCGATATCCTAAAAAGTCCCTCCCCAGCTTTCTTGTAGGACCCCCTAAGATACTGGAAGACCACAATAAGGTCACCTCGGAGCCTTCTCTTCTCCAGACTGAACAGCCCCAACTCTCTCAGTCTGTCCTCGTAGGAGAGCTGCTCCAGCCCTCGGATCATTCTGGTGGCCCTTCTCTGGACACGCTCCAGCAGGTCCACATCCCTCTTGTAATGTTCTACTGCTCCTTTTTTCTCTATTTAAATAGCAATGTTGGAAACCCAGAACGAAGATCCAGGCATGTCTACTGGAAGAGGGAGGTTCTCAGGAAACACATACTCCATTTGAGTACTACTGTCTTAAATACTGCACCAGCAAACTAACAGAAACTGCAAAGGCAATCGAAAGCACCCCACCCTGCGTGTTTCAGTTACACGCACACGTTCACTGTCTCTCTTAATATTCATATAAAAAATTAACAGATGAACAGGTCATTCATCAGTGGCAAAGGAAGTATTTACCCTCTCGTCTTCTTAATGTTAAGTTCTGGGTTAAGTAAGTTTTGAAAGAGGCCTCACTCTCAAGCACTGGCTGAGATCTTTGGAAACTGACTCTGGCTCATGAAAACATACTATTTAAAGATCACAGCTCAAAATTTAGTTACTCAGTGGAGTGCAAATAATGTCTCACTCCTCTCTGAATGTCACTTTGTATTTTAATGAAACACTTTTTCCTACACTACTCAGAATGCAGTGTGCCCGAGTTCCTGTTTGAGACGGTAATGAAACATTATCTTTCTTTCAGCTAAGTTTGCATATCAAAAAGGATTTTTTTAGTCTGTATCAACCCACAAGAATTTAAAAATTATTTTTCCTTCTTCCTGTCCTACATTTTATCAATGTGACAACCGCTCATTTGACTTGGAGAGGAGAACTCTCTTCACAGACTGACAGTGCATATCACTATAGACCCCAGGAATCTGAGCAATTACTATTCCTGAACCTGTAATATAACAGCAAAAGCAGTGGCAACTGCTGGCAGGGAAGACAAGAACTGCACAGGTATAAACTCTTAGAAGCATACTGTAGTGTAACTAGTCAATCTCACAGTGCAGCATCTTTTATATTGAGTGTCTTGAGTACAACACACAGTAATACTTACTTTCTACTATATCTGGAATAGTTCTGTAATGTTGAAATTGATAGAAGGATTTCTCTAACATGTATTCAGGGTTAATTTCTTCCACTCGAAGCAAGTTCAGTACCATGTTGTATGTCAGGTGGAATGCACTGTTCAAAGGATCAGCTGAACCCTGAAAAAGATCCAAGAATACTCTCCAGTTAAAAAAAAAAAAAAAAAAAGAATTGCCACAGGTAAGAACATATCAAATAAATCATGATGCAGTATTTTATAAGAGGAGCTGCTCTAGTGGTTAGTACATCTTGTCTTGAATTAGATTACTTGTCTCATCAAATCCTAAGCAATTTCATTATGCTGAAAACGTAGCAGTGTATGTTTCACCCTATTACAGATCAGATCTGTATGAAATGTTCAGACGAAAAAAACGTAGACGTTTCTTATAGTCAATTATTTGAATTCCATTATTTTAACTTTTAGAACAATCATAATTTCACTTTTTAAAGGAATCCATTATTTTAACACTCTGGAAAAACTTGTCCGCACATCTTTTTCTCTTAAGACAAACCGCCTGTGTCGGTGTCTTGGGAAGCCTGTTCAAAAATACATAGTCTACAATTCCTTTAACTTAAGTAATGTCTCACAAAATTAATTTATTTTGCAGGTTGCCTAAAGAGGTTGTGGATTCCCCACCTGTGGACATACACAAAAGCTACCTGGACATAGTCCTAGGCAGCCTGCTCTACCCTGCTCTAGCAGGGGATTTGGACAAGGTGACCTCCAGAAGTCTCTTACAACCTCAAACACCCTGGGATTCTGTGAAGTTTGATTTTTTCCTTTTCTTTACAAAGTAGTGCATTTACAGGTATTTTGAATAATCTAAGAAGAAAGGATGCTGGGGGGAAGTATTGTGGGGAAATATCACATCACTACTTTCTTTCCCCATTCTTTTTTTCTAGAAACAACTACTACTGTCCGCTATCATAAAGTGTACAAGACTAGACAGATCCACCTTGGCCTGATTCATTCTGGCTGTTATGTTCTTAACCCAGGAGGAAGACCTCATCATTATAAGAAAAGCAAACATTTCACTGATATACATTAAAACAACCAGCTATTCAAAGAACACACAGTACGGTTAAACAGTGTCCAAGGAAGACCTAGGATACCTCACTACTGACTCTCCAAGCAAAGGGCAAACTTTTGAGAAACTGTCTCTAACTGAAGTGTTACCAAAGAAGGCCATCTTCATAAACCAAACAAGAGGTCACTGCAACCAGATGACAAGAGACAAAACTTAAACATGAAATTGCCCAACTGTGGTGTGTAACTTTTCCTGTAAAGCAGTACTCATATCAAAGGAACAGGTGCCTGATGTTTCTTCATCAATGATCCAAAGAAAATCCAGGAGTTAGGAAGCAGAAAATGGCAATTTCTGTGCAACAAAAGGATTGGAAACCAAAAGCAACAGACAGCTCGACAGAATAGAGCAGAACAGCATGAACAGACTTTTTATAAAACCAAGTTAGAGCTCACAAATCTCTCAGAGCTCTCTGAAGGTGTTAACAACTACCTGGATTATTCCATCTCCTTGATTCCTGAAAAGCTTGTGACAAAACACTCCTTACCCCCACTAAACTAACGTAAGTAGTCATTAAGGAATTTAAAAAACCCAAACTCTTATCAATTACTAAACAGGAAAAAAAAAAAAGTGTAATTTGGTATTTTTTCCAAATGAAACGCCTCGAAGAGACCTGGACTTTTGAGAAATCTAGAAAAAGGCATAGGCAGAAAAATAGTAAGATCTGCTAAATATACCATTAGATCACTGAAGATACCAGCAACTGAAGATATCAGCAACCCAGAGTTGCAAGATAAGGAATACAATCGCAAACAACCCTTTAATTTGAAAGTATATTTTAAGATGAAGTGCAACAGTTTGCAAATTTAGTATTTACCGCTCATTGACGAAAAAGCGTCCTTACTAAACCAATGTTGTCATGTCACCATGGCCTATGAGAAAATTCAGTTATAATTAGACATTCTAAATCAGTAACAACTAAAACAGAAAACAAGAAAATAAGGATGTTTCAAGACATTTTTCATGTACCTATACAATGGCTGAAAGTTCAAAATATTCTACTAAAGGTTTTACAAGCTCAGAGAGGGCTGTCTCTGGGAAATGTGCTCCTCTGCACTTCCTTTTAAGCTTAAGATTTGCTTTACCTGATCCAAATGATACCAGTTCCTCTTGCAACTCATTCCTTTGCCTTTTGCTGTGGAGTAGGGTATCTAGCAGAGATACTACCTCATCATACATAACAAAAAAAGAGTATAGGCTATTAAAAAAAACAACTTCTGATTACTTTATATATACAAATGCTAACATTCAGATCATGTGGCCTTCTAGACGAAGCTGAGTCTAATGGATTTTAAATGACATTATCACAATATAAAGATTTTTATTTTAATTGTAGAGTCAGGAATTCTGATACTACATCGATTCATGCACTAATGTCAGACTTCATAGAGGACATTCTGAAGTTTAGACTCCTGCACATGTAGGAGATGTAAGAATACTGTGATCACATTTGCTTTACAGGAGATAGAGAGCCTTATGGATTACCTTACAAACGGCAGATTCCTACTCACTGCGTGATACTTCATCTCAGAAAAAAAAAACAGCTGTTACAGAGAAGCCTTCAATGTATGTTTGCACCAAGAAAGTGCCAACATGTATACATGTAAAACAAGTTTAAGCTAAAAGATACAGCCTGTTTTGCTCTCCACAGCCAGAGATTCGTGTTCTAGCTGACATCCATAAGTAGACCATATATACACACACAGATTTTCACCTCAAGTAATTCACCACAGAACAGAAATACCTCCTAAATTAGGTAACAAAATGTGTATTTAAAACACTGTCAAGTCCTGAAATTACCACAAATGGGTTTCAATAAGTACACTACCAACAGCTGAGCTGCAGTATGTGGAGCTGCTCAAGTTTCTGCAGATGCCTCTGGTCTGATACACCGAAGATGAGAGAACTTCTGTTGGTGCAATAACCAGCATGTAACACAATTTTTTCCTAGACCTGATAAAACAATTATGTAACCAAGCTATCTTCTATTTTTTTAAATACATCTGTTATTCTAGGAAAGAGAAATTGCCACTCCCTAAAAAAGCTTGCTTCTCGGCAACAGAGAATGCCATTTAAAGAATGGCATTCACTAAAGCACAGCAATTATGTCAGTGTCAGCTAACAGTGGGTCAGATTCTTTCCTACAGCAATGTCCACTGCCGTAGTCAGGCATCAACTAAAGCAGCTGGAACACACCCACTTGCTGGCTACAGCCACCGGTGTATTTACAGACCAGTGGAGATCTGGCAAAATGCCACTGTGAATGCTACCACCACCCCTGACAAGGTTACATAGCTTCAAGGCATAACTTAGCTGTGAGTTTGTGAGATTATCAACCATTTGAAAGAATAAAACCTTACGTGTCACACTCTCACTTAATTGCTATTACAAAGTGAGAAAAGAAAACCAAACCATGAAATTTACACAACTATAACGTACACACAGAATATGCCAAAAGAAAAAAAAAAAAAATCCTGCAGACTCACTTTAAAGGCTTCTTAAAAATCAGCACAGTTCAACTGTGAAGGAGCGATTTAAAAACAAACTAAAAACCCCAGCTATTTCAAAGATTATATGAAGCAGACTTATTTGAAAGGCAGCATTTTTTCCAGCTGCTGATGTGGCAATTTTTATTTTAAACATATGAGCAGCATTTTACAATTTGAAAATAAGGTCATTCTATTAAGACAGAGCAGCTAAAATACGAATCCTGTTTGGCAAAATTTTGAATTGTTCCTGTTCCTCCATCTCATAAACACATCCTTCTCCAAGTTTCAGAAATTCCTTTTTTCTCAGTATTGTTCTCTAAGCAGTACTACCTTTGAAACCAAGAGTTCTGAGAAGTTTATTTTTTCTGAAAATTTGAGCTGTTACTTATCCAAAACAAACTTAGCTATAGAAGCTTTACTGTATGACAACAACACAGCCAGTGAATTCTGCAGCATGCATTAGTCTCTCCTGACTACCTCAGGCTACCAACACTCTTGACTGAAAGGCACCAGTCACCTGGATGCCTCTGTTTCACAAACCCAGTAGCAACATGTGGATTTTGAAGCTGCATTAGGAAATGCTACAGCAAAATACAGTTGTTTTGTACTAAGTACATATAAAACATGAGCATAGAACTAGCCTTTTCTGGGAAATTACCAAGATTGGCAGGATTACTGAAGAGGCAGAGTGGTTACCTCAAGCCACCTGTCAGAAACATATGGTGATGGGAAGGGAAGAACCGGAAGGGAAAGAAGACGGTATATATTACTGACAGGAAAACAGAAAAGGTGGGCCTTCTTTTCCTAACTGGCTCTTGAGGAGCCCACACAGGATAAAGTGTTCAACAGTTTTGGTTGCTGCTGAAGTACAGTAAGAGACAAATCAGTTAAACTTACATTTTGTTCATGATAGTTCACTGCTGTTGCAATGCCAGTTTCTCCTCAAGCCCTGTGCCACAAGCTTCCAGGTTAATTACTTTTCTTTCTTACTTTCTTAAAACTATTGTGAAGTATGCACACAACAGTTAGCTCACACTCTACCACAGATCCTCCCATCACAATTTATCAGCCTTCCTTTTGACAAGCTAGGCAATCATTTGCCTCAAGTTCTCTCACTCTCTCAGGAAGCCTCTCCCTTGTCTCCAGAGAAAAGACCCATATTAGCGACTGGAAGAATCATGAACCAACAACTCATGCAGAAGATCAGGTAAAAGCCTAACTGCTCAGAGCTGCAACGCTGATGAGAAAGACTTCCTTGAACAGGCACTAAGAAGTCACCCTAAAACACATGCTGTGTCCATGACTTATTGTTGTTGTTGAACTACCATCCCCTTTCTGCAAGTAGTCCCTCTCCTCACCCCTCCAGAGAAGGCAGCCTCCCCACACCAAATCTTCAACAGACAGTAGCAACAGATTTATTTCAGAGTATTTTTTTAAAAAACAGAATGATTTTACAAGTTTTTTTAATCCTTCAGGATGAGAAGTGCCTGGATACATGAGAACAGCCTGGACATAACAGCTCAAGTTCTCAGAAATTAATGACCT